GGGAAGACCCCACAGCCACCACTTTACGTGTCCTGCTATGCTGGGGTTCGGTACAACGCCTTAGAGACTATGTTCACCATCACGCCAAAGGGTCCACCAGTGCCCAGGGACATGGAGGTCTGGACAGTCCGGCACCAGAGCCCAGAGACAGCCCCACTACAGAGCCTGGGAGCTCTCAAAAGCCTGCACTGTTCCCCCAACACTGCCGGGGCCTGAACCCCTCAGATGCCAGAGCCACAAGAGCAAAGGCATTCAAATGCAGTAGGAATCACTACTGAGCCTGGCAGAGGACTCGTGTCTGTGAAAGAGAAGACAGAGTCTACCTGTTACTGCGCTGGGCTTATATGATCTTTTTCCAAATTCTGATAAACTCTGAAACTTTCAGATAACTTACGAAACGCAAGGGTGAAAGTTTTCTCAGGCCTTTTGAAACTAATACTATGCATAGCAGAAAAATGACTGATATTGCTAAAATCTTCAAAATTGCAGCCCAAAACTTAAACAATGTCTGAAATAAAGAGGTTTTTATTTTGTTTGTTTGTTTTGAGACAGAGTCTCGCTCCTCTCACCCAGGCTGGAATACAGTGGCGCGATCTCAGCTCAGTGCAACCTCGGCCTCCTGGGTTCAAGCGATTCCCCTGCCTCAGCCTTCTGAGTAGCTGGGATTACAGGCGCCCGCCACCACGCCTGGCTAATTTTTGTACTTTTAGTAGAGATGGAGTTTTGCCAATTTGGCCAGGTTGGTCTTGAACTTCTGACCTCTGGTGATCCACCTGCCTCGGCCTCCCAAAGTGCCGGGATTACAGGTGTGAGCCACTGCGCCCAGTCAGGAGATTTGAATATACATTATTGTACCAACCTAACAGCTATTTCTGGTCATTGAAACCAAGCAGGCTCTAAGTAAACACTGTTCATTAGCCTATCTCGCCCCTTATAAATTCTTTTTCTTTAAACATTCAGTTCTAACAGGCAATGTTTCACGTGTAGAAACTGAATTCAAGGGCTGGGTGTGGTGGTTCACGCCTGTAATCCCAGCACTGTGGGAGGTCGAGGCGGGCGGATCACAAGGTCAGGAGATCGAGACCATCCTGGCTAACATGTTGAAAGCCCGTCTCTACTAAAAATACAAAAAACTAGCCGGGCGAGGTGGCGGGCACCTGTAGTCCCAGCTACTCAGGAGGCTGAGGCAGGAGAATGGCGGGAACCCGGGAGGCGGAGCTTATAGTGAGCCGAGATCGCGCCACTGCACTCCAGCCTGGGCGACACAGCGAGACTCCGTCTCAAAATAAATAAATAAAATAAAAAGAAATTCAATTCAAGAATTGTGCTGTTAAAGTTACCGATAAATTCAGTTAAAATACCTCTGGCCTTTCCAATTCCCCTACAACCTTGCTTCTACAAAGGCAACTCCGGAGACTGTCTGGGTGCAGAGAGTGAGACATGTGGAGATGCTGACAGGGACACTTTCCAGAGGCTGATGCCCAAAGAGGAGAAGATGTCGGCACAGACAGACCTGGACATGGACACACATGGCCTGTGGCAGGTGCCCAGGTGGAGGAGGCCGAACAATGAAGGAAATGAGGAAGCAATCACGTAGACTTTAGTTCCTGTAGGTCAATATGAAATCTTTAAAAGCCACCATCTGAGAACCACTATTTATAAATAACAAGCACAGCATTCAACATGCACTCTCGCCCTGGCCTCCTCCAGACGCAGCCCCGCAACACCTCCTTACACCCTCAACGGCACACGGAAAGGTGCCCTGGGAGCACTCGCTATGATCACCGTCATTATCCCTGGAAAGCAGCAAGGCGGGAAGAAAACCACTCCTTTCTGATGCCAGAATTCACAGCTTAAGATTCTAATTTGTAGGGCTCTGGCAGGTGGCCTGTGGTTCCGGTGCCAGTCCTCCCAAGCTTTGACAACAGACACATCATTCCGCTGAGCTCCAAAATAGCTCCAAACTCTAAAACTACCAAGGTTCTATCACCTACTCTTACTAACTTCACAAACATTATCATTGCTTCAATTGTAGCAAGAATTCAGCACTGTTCTTTGACCACTGTGGGCCTCTCAGAGGCTCTGCATAGGACTGGGTGCCACAGGTACTCAACAAGCAACAAAAGGCCTCAAAGGACAACAACCCTGGAAGGTCCCCAGGAAGGATGCACACAGCACACTTTCCACTAGAAAGCTCCTTCTGGCATAAGGACAGGATTAACGGAGCAGCAGTTCTCTACCATGGCGGGGAGAAGATGGGCATGTTGTACATTCTCCATCCCAAACTTTGGAGATAATTAAAAATACAACTTTCTAGTTGCACAGCCCGAGATCCTGGTGACGTTTTCCACGCTGGCCGGAGCTGCTGCGTGTGACCAACGGAGAGGCATTCCTGGGGAAGGAAGTCTGGCCCCTCCACCTTGCTGGTAAAAAACTTAACATTTCATCTCTGCTGTGGCTTCCAGCTGCCCCGGGGCACCCGCTGACGAGGTCGCTTGGAAACAGAGCACAAGGAACCAGGAAACATATTTTGATGTGGAACCAGAACAGTGGGAAAAGGTTAACTGCAAAGCCCAGAAGCGAGTGTGGGACATATTTACCGAGCTTTGTTTGTGTTAATGCTCACAAATGTTTCAGGCATCACACCTAACCGGGCGCTCTGCAGCCAGGAGATAAAGCTAACAGGGTCACATGGCCACGGAATTCTTGCTGAAACTCCCAAGCAGAGGGAAAAAACAGCCTCCTATACTTTCCAACCTCCACACCAAACACAGGCCCAAGGGTGGGCAGGAGGGGCCGTGCCCACCAGAACATGATGTCCCTGTGGACACCTCGCCACCCAGGAGACGGAGAAGGTACCAGGACGAGCTTGTGCTTTCAAAGGCTGCCTGCCATTTTTACTGGGACCGTAAGACTGGGGCTGAGGGCCAAACGGTGTTCCCCGCAAACTCACATAATGGAGTCCTGCCCAGTGTGGGACTGTGTCTGGGAGATGGTCCTTACAGAGCAATGAAGTTCAAATGAGGCTACCAGGGTGGCCCCAACCCAGCAGGACCAGTGTCCTCATGAAAGGGGACATCTGGAAACAGACATGCACGGGGGATGGCGAGATAGGAGTCATGGGGAGAAGACGGCGGCTCCGAGCCAGGGAGACAGGCTGGGCAGATGATCCCTCACAGCCTCCAAAAGAAAGCCCCGATCTTGGCTTCCAGTCTCAGGACCCTGAGAGAAAATCTTCCTGCTGGGAAGGCCACTCGTCCGCGGGACCCTGTCAGGGCAGCCCCAGGAAACAAACACGCGGGGTTCACCCAAAGGTTCACCACTGCGTTATGTCCCAGTTACACCTCGACAACATCACTCTTCCCTTATCTCACCAGTTCAGTCAAGTTCACGGTGATGGACGACTTTGTCACCGTGCAGACCATGAAGCGCAGTGTACGTGACCATGTGCTGGAGAGTCAGTGCCACGGCGCTTTTACTTTTACTTACACGATGACAGTGATAGTACAGCAGAGGCAGAAATAGTTCTTAAATTTTCCCAATGCCTCCAACTGGATGGGATTTTTATTGTAAATTCAATCCAGGTCCTGACATAGGCTCGTTGTGATAACCTAGAATATGCCAGCCTTTTAAACCTTAAAGTATTGAAAACAGAAGTTGGGATAGAAAGGTCTTGACTGCAAGTCAAGAAGAACCAGTGGTGATCCTTGCTTTCTCTAGAAACCTCAGCTGACCACGATTCTAAGTATCACACCAGCAGAAAGGCAGATCAGCCATCCGGCTGCTCAAAACACTGTCAGCTCTCACACTGTTCCTTTGACACAAGCCTTCAGGGAGGTTTAGGTGGGTTCGTTCCCAGCCTGGAGGAGCGTCACCTGCTTGCAGCTCTAATTCTGAGACCAGAGCAGAGACGGGTCCTCCCAGAGCACTCTCACTGCCTGGCTTCCTCACCCTGCAGGCATGGGGGCTGCACCTGCCCTCCCTGCCGCCTGGTCTCGCCTCCCGAGTGCTCACTAATAAAAAAGGAGTAGGGGGTGGGGAATGGGGAAGAACGAAAAAAAAACAACAGGAAAATACCCAGTCTGGAATGCCCCGGGCTGCGCGTGGCAAACGCCTCTTCCTGAGGATACAGCGGCAGCCCTGACGTCACGGGCCAAGGGGCACTGCCCTCGACCGCCTATGCGGACGTTTTCGTGCCTCAGATAAAAATCCCGGAGCAGAAAGCACTCTCAGGGGCCACTCGCAGCCCACCTGCTGGGAAAGCTGTTTCGTTAGAGATAAAAACACCCGGCTGGTTAAGTGGACCCAGCGGAGTCCCAGCAGCCCCTCACACCGTTAAAAAGAAAAACCAACAACCTGGGACCCAAAGAAGGAGGCGCGTGAGCTCCCCCAGCCTGATGCCGCAGCCAGCGTCTCCGGGGAGCAGGAGGCCGCGCTGTTCCGAAGCGCGGGCTGGGGGCTCCGGGGCACTGCGGAGCTGCGGTCCCATCTGCACCCGAGGCAGGGCTGGCAATTACGGCGGGGGAGGAAGCTGGAGCAGCCGGCGGCCACCGCGGGGGGCCGGCACGTGCAATTCCCCAAGGAAGACACTGCGCGTGTGTGAGCCCGCCTGAGGCGCGGATGGCGTCTCCCGGAATTCCCACGTGGAAGCCCTGACCGCCAGCAGCGCCGCCCTCTTAGAAATGGGTGTTTGCAGAGACAGATCAGCAGGGCCCTGATCGGAGAGGACTGGAGACTTCAGACGGGAAACGCGCAGACGGAGGCAGGGGCGAGGCGCCCAGGGAAAAGGCCGCAGGAAGAGGAAGCAGACGTGGGGAGACGCTCCCTCCCGGCTCCATGAGGAGCCCACCTGCCCACCCAGGCCCCAGACACCGCCACCCCGCCCACCGCCGCCCCGCCCCTCCCTCCCCCGCCCCCCCCCCCGCGGCCCCGCCCATCCCCACCCCTCCCCTCCCCGCCCCACCCCGCCCCTCCCAGCCCCGCCCCTGCCGCCAGCTCACCTCATGTAGGACGCAGGGGACAGGGGCTTGGGCTTCGCCCACTGGTATGGGTGCTGCGGCACCGCCAGGTACTGGTCGCAGAAGCCGCCCTTCCTGATGTGCTGGAAAGAGGAGAAGTCTTCGGGCGCGAAGTCGGCCGGGGGCGGGGGGCTGCCCAGGTCCTCCCCGACGGGCTCCACCTTGAGCGCCACCGAGGGCGGCTGCTCCAGGGTGGTCTTGCGGGACTTGACAGGGACGCCGTCACCCAGGTCCAGGCTGCTGTCAGTGGTCAGCGCGTTGATGGCGGCCACGATGGCCGAGCTGGTGTACTGGGTGGTGTTGCCCAACCACGAGTCGTCCGTCACGCTGACCCGCGGGGAGCCGTGCGGGGACGGCGTGGGCGAGTGGTGGGGTGAGTAGGGCGGCTGCCGGCCGTTGAGGCTGTACTTCCTCTTGTTGCACGGGGACGCGGGCCTGGAGGAGCGGGCACCCAGCCAACTCTCCTCAGTGACGCTGGCGCGGGGCGAGGTGGAGGGGGAGTGCCGCGGGGAACCCAGCAGCGTGCAGGCCCCCAGCCCGCGGGGAAAGCCCTCCTCAGGGTCCGTGGTCTTGGGAGACACGCAGGGAGACTGCCATGGCGACGTCTGGGGGGACGCGTACGGGTACGAGTAGTTGGACTCGTAGGAGGAGGCCTCTGAGTTGCAGCTGCGGGAGGACAGGCTGCTGGCCGGGCTCAGGCACGAGGGGTCTCTGTAGGCCTCCAGGCTGGGCAGACTCAGCGTGGCCGTGGAGGGGGACCGTTTGGAGCTGGGGAGGACATCTTCCACCTCCACATCGTGGAAAAACTGGTTGTTGTTGTGGTACAGACCCAAGCATGAGGTTATCTCGATGCGAGGACTCTCCAGGGCAGGGGCCCCATCTGGCCTGGCGTGGCCGGAGGAGAGGAAGTAGCCCGTGGGCCCACCGTCCAAAGCTGCTCCGTACCCCGAGGGGTGATCCGCCGGCGGGACGATGCCCGGTGTGGAGGTCTGAAGGTTGTGGCATGGGGCCGGCAGGGTAGAGTGTGCTGTGGGGAGCGGCAAGGCAGGGCTGACGTTGGAGGACGCATAGCCATAGTGTTCTAGAGAGAAAAAGAAGCAGATGGTGGCATGAGGGGCTGGGCATCACAAAGCAGGAACCCATGACCTCAGGGCAGCCGGCAGCCCCTGGCCTTGACGAACGGCTGGGGGGCCTCAGACCCCACGGAGCGGGCCTCTGCCAATGCCGAGACTACACTGCCCGACAGCTCCAGGCCACTTGGAGTAACAGGTCCCCATGAGCCCCTCGCTGCCCACCTCCCCTCCTCCCCCAACAGCAGCACAAGCCCCCTAACGTCCCTCCCAGACAGAGGCAGCCGAGTCCTCACCAGTTCCACTCTTCATTCAAAAACCACCTTCCCGAACCACCCCACCTTCATTTAAACCCCAAACTCAACATGTGGGCCCTCCTTCTCTAGTTTATTTTTTCTCCTAAATACGTATCACAATCTAACAGCATGTTTTTACTCATTCATCTCACACTGTCATCTCTTTGACAAACAGAAACCTAAGTTCCATGAAGGCAGAACATTTGGACGTCTTAGTCTATTCTGGCTCACCACTGTTTTAAGAGCCAAAGACTGTGCCTGGCACATAAAGTGTGTTCAATTTGTTTAATGGATGAATGGTTGGTGGGTGGGTTGACAATGGATGATGGACAGACAGGTAAATAAACTGATGGATGGATCATGATGGACATGGTGGGTGAGGGGATGATGGGTAGATGGAGGGTAGGTGGGTGGATGGATGGTGATGGACAAACAAGGGAGGAATGAAGGATGAAGAGATGGGCTATGGATGGGTGGATGGGTGGGTGGATGAATGGATGGATGATGGATGGATGGACAGGTAAGCGATGGATGAATGATGAACTGGGGATGGAGGCATGATAGATAACTGGTGGATGCATGGATGGATAGATGAATGGATGGTGATGGATGGATGGATGAGGAATGGAGGAATAAAGGATGGATGATGGATGGATGAATGAATGAATGGATAGTGAATGGAGGAATAATGGATGGATGATGGATGATGATGCATGGATGACGGATGGATGATGATGGATGGATGGATGGAGAATGGAGGAGTAATGGATGATGATGATGGATGGATGATGGATGGATGGATGGATGGGGAATGGAGAAATAATGGATGGATGATGGATGGATGATGATGATGGACAGATGGATGGATAGGGAATGGAGGAATAATGGATGGATGATGGATGGATGATGATGATGGATGGATAGATGGATGAGTAGATAGGGAATAGAGGAATAATGGATGAATGATGGATGGATGGATAATTGATGGATGATGATGGATGGATGGATACGGAATGGAGGAATAATGGATGGATGAGGACGGATGGATGAGGAATGGAGGAATAATGGATGGATGATGGATAATGATGATAGATGGATGGATGCATAGGGAATGGAGAAATAATGAATGATGGATGGATGGATGATGATGATGGACGGATGGACAGATGGATGGATAGGGAATGGAGGAATAATGGATGGATGATGGAAGGATGGATGATGATGAGGACAGATGGATAGGGAATGGAGGAATAATGGATGGATGATGGATGGATGACGATGGATAGATGGATGATGGATGGATGGATAGGGAATGGAGGAATAATGGTTTGATGATGGATGGATGGTGGATGGGTGGGTGGGTGGATGGATGGATGTGTTTTAGATCTAAGGACCTAGAGATGTAAACAGATTTTAATAGGCCTTTCACTGTCAAGGTGCCCTCATCACCAGCTACAAAGAAAACTCCTCAAGGATTGGATGAAAACACAAACTCTGAAATCCCCCTCACGGAGATTCTGAAACTGGCTCATGTCCTAGGAATCCATCTTTTAGAACAAAACAGAAGATTCCGGTACACAGCTAATTCTAAGGATCATTATGTGTTAATTACACTCAAAATATTTTTTAAAATCATTATTAAGGAAATTAGTAATTTTAACAGGAAAGATGTGCTTCTGGATTTCTGATTTGAAAAGACTTTATGACATCTTGGAACCTCATGATTACATGCCTGGAGATGGGTATTCCCAGGCCTCTAAATAATACAAACAAGCACATGGAAATCCTATATTCATCTCCTGGTGCAAATGCACTGGCTGGAAGATTTTTATTCAAGGACAGTACTGTCTTTCCGCTAAGTTGTAGTTCAGAAACCAACAAGGATAAATGCCAAGAAAATCGAGGGTCTCAAAATACCAATCCAAACCCCACTGTATTTACTAACAGAAATGGTTCTAATGCGCAGATAGGTGGGAAACACGGCATGGCGGCCTGGTAAGAGGACACACTGTGGCCTCAATGCCAGGAGTCACAGCTGCCTTCTGGAAATTCCAGACACTCAGGGGCCAGAGCTGTGACAAAGAGAAAGAAACAGAACTGCGATGGAGCCACACCTCACAGGTGTGACCAGAAGCTCTCAGGGGTGGGAGCTGAGACCTGCTCAGGACGTCTTTGTACGGGAAGGGCCCCTTAGCTAAGGCTGAGCACCTTGGGGATGGTGCTAGCCAGGCCCCAGTCCCGCCTTCCCCATCATAAAGAAATGCCCTCAAGAGGACGGGAGCCACGAAGTCTCCTGCACCCAAGAGAGAACAGGAATTGTCAATAAATCCAGGAGGTGGCCAGGCACGGTGGCAGCTCACGCCTGTAATCCCAGCACTTTGGGAGGCCGAGGGGGCAGATCACTTGAGGTCAGAAGTTCGAGACCAATCTGGGCAACATGATGAAACCCTATCTCTGCAAAAAATACAAGTAGCCAGGTAAGGTGGCGTGCGCCTGTAGTCCCAGTTACTCGGGAGGCTGATGCAGCAGGATCGCTTGAGCCCGGGAGGTGAAGGTTGCAGTGAGCTGTGATCACACTACTGTACTCCAGCCTGGGTGACACAGCAAGACTCTGTCAAATCAATAAATCAATCAATAAGGAGGTCTTTCTTTTCCCAGAGCCACAGGCGGGGCCTGGGGTGGAGCTGGAGCTGGGCATCCTGATGCCAATGCCAGCATCCAGCCTGGCCTTTGGTCAGGACACACACACCATCCCCGGGGGCTGCCCCAGCCGCGAAACGCCAGCGCTGGGACTGACCACCCGTGTTCACCGGCATCCACTGGGCCCCCCATACTCCACGCCACGCTCCATGCTCACTGGACACTTCAGGCAAACACCAGGCTCCAATGCTAAAACTTCGGCGACCATCTTTCTAAAAATGGAGCTGGAAAGCAGCTTCCTGGAGGTGGTGAGGCTTCTAAGGAGAATTTGAAGTCCTCCGATCTGCTGGTGATACCTGGGGGGCTCTGGGCCAGGCAAGCGGTAGCCCTCTGAGCGCTCCGCCTGGGCGTCACAGTGGCCCCTCCGTGGCCCGTGCAAAGCTCCTGAGCCGGCTGCGTCAGACCTGCTGGACAACAGGCCACACAGGCAGGTCCCCCTCTGCCCGGTGCCCCACACGCCCGGTGCCCATGCTAGGCCAGCCCTGATGTCTGCCCAGCGCACAGTGCTGCAGGAGACCCACAGAGCCATGACTAGCTCTGCGTCTGGGGGTCCCACGGTGGACACAAGGAAGGCGGGGTGGGGGACCAATGAGGGGGTTTTGTCGAGCGCAGGCCTGCGGCTCCTGGGGGGTTCCCATTGGGGCACTACACAGAGCCACCTGTTCACAGGTCTGCAGCTCCTGGGGGGTTCCCGCTGAGGCAGCATGCCGAGCCACCTGTTCACTACTCTGCATTCTCACCAAAAGTTGTCTGAAAGATATTCCTTAGCCAGAAATGCTACGTTATACACACCAGCGCAGGACCTCACACCTACACTTAGTGCTGGGCCCGCTTATTTGTCTAGAAGCCCTTTCGCCTGTTGGAGCAGAAACATAACATTCCGTTAGGAACGACCTTCCGTCTCAAACCAGTCATCAACTCCAGGAGACGCGGAAGCACAGGAGCGGAGCGGAGGGAACATGAAGGCGGCGGGGATCCGATCACGGTGGCCCAACCTCCCTCCCACACCCTGACTTCCTCTTGGAGGTATCCGTGGCCTTCAACTGGCTCTTCAGGCCCCACCTGCTCCACACACTTCCCCTCACTGTCCAGACCTCAAAGGGGGCTTAACTGCAGTTGATTAATGTACAGATTCTTACACTTCCTGTTTCCCAATCAAAAGAATATTTATTTCCAAGACAGCTGATGCCACAGTTGAACTACCATTTGTTGGTAGGAAGGTAATTCTGAAGAATTTTTTAAAATCCTAGCAATTAACAGAGCAAATCTTGGGGCCTCCCCACCACTCACCCTCCCACAGTACTCAGCCCTGAAACGGGTGCCCAGCCAGTGGCAGAGCCCAGAGCTGGGTCACATGGGGTACTAGAGTCAGATCACCGGAAGGTTCTAGATAAAACGGGGCAGGAAAGGGGAGGCGGACCTCACAGGTCTCTGTGTGCAAGTCTTCTGGGGCTATAGCCCTTGATGTTTATGTGACAGGGGCCCGGGCATGAGGGGAAGTGAGGAAGAGGAGGAGACTCCACCCGCAGCCAGAGCAGGAAGTGCATGCAGCGAGGCCCAGGGACGCCTAGGGCACCAGGGGGCCTTTATTTAAACTAAAGTATTGCAATAAAACCTGATTCAATGAGGCAAAGAAACACCATAAAGCTTTTATTAAAAAACAAAAAGGGCTCACCTAAGCATGAGTTTTCCCTGATCAAACAATGGCAAAATGAAAGCTCAAATGCCTGAATTTCATTAGGATCCCTTGCCCAGGTCCTTGGAGGACGGGTGGTGGATAAAGTTCCCTTGTTCTTCCTAGAACAAGAGCAAGGTGGGGGGGTCAAGCTGCCCCCAGAGGCCAAGCCCCACACACCAGGGGCCACTGTCCTGGCTGTGAGCCCCTCCCTCCCAGCTCCCAATGAATTTGGTTTCATGACCCACCTAAACCATATTCAAATCTGAGTTATTTAACTATTCAAAGGGGTCATATTTACATGAAAGGAAAATATTCCCAGTAACTTTCTTAATGATTC